GAGGAGAATAGGAGGAGGTACATGGGGAAGTGGTATATGATGGTGGGACTAGGAAGAGAGGAGGGAAGGGGCTGAGATCTGGATGTAAAGTGAATAAGTAAAATAAAAATAAAATGTAAGAAAACAAAAAAATAAAAAATGAAGAAAGAAATGCCCACAAATGATGAACATTGTGGGTGAGATCAGACTTAAAAATGTGTCTCTGACCAATTCATGAGGAGATTCCAAGAAAGAAAGGGCAAAAAAATTACTATGAGATCTGTCTTATCAGAACGTGAAAGCTAAAGGGTAATCAAACTAGGTCAAACCACTAAGGGAAAATAGAACTCAAAGTCAGAAAACAGCTATCAGGAGAGCAGGAGAGAGATGCTTTCTGGTGTGTGAGGTGTCAAAGACTTTACTTCCTAAATTCTCGGGGAACTGAGTGAAGGATGGTGTTCTTTACCAGAGACAGAGTGGATTAGGAGGAACAAAGATGGATTAGAAGAAACATGGAGAACTGATAAGGAGAGAGGCCAGAGCAGTCTGAAGTCAAGAGAGACGCCATAGATCAGCGGCTAGCTGATGAACACGAGAAGATCCAACATCTCTGAGGAATGGAAGCAAGTGAGAAGGACAGAATAACAATGTCAATGCAGATGTGGGTAGAGCATCATACAGCTGGAAGCGGGTCAGCTGAGTCAGTGACAGACTTTGTAATTACCCATTGATTATAACAAAACAGTTAAAACGTGCAGAAAAGAACAATTATAGAATATATGATAAGATTGTTGAATCGTATGACATCACCAGTATTTAAACCAGTGGTTCGTGACCTTTCCAAATGCTGCAGCCCGTTAATACAGTTCATCGTGTTGTTGTGACCCCCAGCTATAAAATTATTTTCATTAGTACTTCATAACTGTAACTTTACTTTTGCTATGAATCATAACATAGATATGTTTTCCAGTGGTCTTGGGGGATCCCTGTGAAAGAGTAGCTCAACCTCCAAACTGGTTGTTACTGGTAGGCTGAGCATCACTGATTTAAACTATTCTGTGGTTGATACATTGGGACACTGGAAACACTGGGACTGAACCTACAGCCTCAAGCCTGCAAGGCAAACATGGTAGATACTAACTACACCCTCATCCTTTTTTGTAGTTTTTCCTTTTTTGGAGGGATAAGTCTCACTAACTCGCCCTGCTTGCTCTTGAATTCATTCTGTAAATGAGGTAGGCTTTGGACATAGTTATCTTCCAGCCTCAGCCTCCTGAATAAATGGGGTTATAGACCTGCATCGCCAGGCCTGTGTTCATTTAAAATGTTCAAGAGTTAGTTTAGAGCTGGGAAGAGTGCTTGCCTTGAAACTTTGAGGAGAGCCGGGCGGTGGTGGCACACGCCTTTAATCCCAGCACTTGGGAGGCAGAGGCAGGCGGATTTCTGAGTTCAAGGCCAGCCTGGTCTACAGAGTGAGTTCCAGGACAGCCCGGACTAGAAAGAGAAACCCTGTCTCGAAAAAAAAAAAAAAACACACACACACACACACAAAAAAAAACTTTGAGGAACTTAGTTCAGCACCATGTGTAAAAGCTAGTATGGTGGCAGACTTATAATTCCAGTACTGGGAAGGCAGAGATTGAAGTGGGGATTCTGGGGCTCAATATTCTACCCTAATTAGTGAACCTTGGGTCAACGGCAGACACTACCTCAAATGAGGTGGAAGGTATTCCTGAATAACCTACCAGAGGTTGTTCTCTGGCTTCCACATGGATACACATGTGCATGTACATCCTGAATACATACTCACACACACTTCAAAAGGCTATTTTTAAAAATCTCTTTTATTTTTTTAAAAGTGTGTGTGTGCTCGCGCACATGCATGCATGTGCACATGAAAGCCAGTGTCTTTGGAGATCAGAAGCTCCCCTGGAGCTGGAGTTACAGGAGGTTGTGAGCTGCCTGATGTGGGTGCTGGGAACTGAACTCAGAGCAGCATGGACTTTGTTTTGTTTTGTTTTTGAGACAGGGCCTCTCTATGTAGGCCTAGTTGTCCTGGAGTTCGCTATGTAGACCAGGATGGCCTCGCACTGAGATCCTCCTGTCTTTGCCTCCCAAGTGCTTGGATTAAAGGCATGTGCCACCATGCTCTGCCAATTATTCTCATAGCTGGGGTCTTAAAAAAACAACTTATGCTATATGGCTCAATGAAACACAAAATCCAGCAGCAAATAGTACTTAAATGACCACAGTTATCTGAGCATTGACTATCAATGTAGCTAGAACTATGGTAAGATAGTTCTGGAAAACACAGGTAGGAAATACGTGGATAGTTGAGGTTAAGAGCAGACAATGGAGGGAAATAGCTAAAAGTCTCAGCTGCATAATGAGATGGCAATACTAAATGATGCATATAATTGAAAAATTCATAACCACTACTGAAAGAATATAGTTGAGCAATTAGAGTAATTTTGGAAAGCTTAAATGTAAACAACTGGAGTTTATTATTTAAGAAAACTTCCCAGAATTTCATTTTTGAAAAAATTTAAAAATAAGTATTGAGATAAAAAGCTGCATGGCACCTTTAAAGGACTCATCCAGCTCTAAGTCCAGTTGTGGTGATCCTATGCTCTGAGAACATCTCTGTGAAAGAGGTCATGCAGGGTAGTTTCTCTGGCACATGGCATTCTCTCCACAAATGATATCCTATCGAAATCTTTCTGACCTTTGACTTTTCGAAGCTCACTGCTCTCCACATTCTCTGTACAGCACAGATAGAGGTGAAAGCCACTTTTCTTCCTTGTCAGGATAATAGTGGATTATAGAAATTTGAAAAATGGCGCAGGGTTGGGGTGGGGGGAGTGGTGGCAGAGTGGGGGGGTCGGGAGAGTAGTAGCAATGACAATTCGTGCCCTTAGTCTTAGCCTTTAGGAGGCAGAGACAGATCTCTGAGTTCTAGGCCAGCCTGGTCTACAGAATGAGTTCCAGAATAGTCAGAACTACACAGAGAGACTTTGTCTCAAAAAACAAAAACAAAATTGCAGAAAGGAGATATTGTCTAAAAAGTGACATTTACGTAGATGTGTCCATTTAAGGAATGTGAGAACATAAATGTCAGATCCTCTTCTCTGATCTCGGAGCAGAGGAACTGATGTTATAGCTCAGTAGTTAAGTGACTTTGTGAGCTCTTTCTCCCTGTCTCTGAGCACTGATCTGTTTTCATATTTTAAGTGGCATCGTGGGCAGTGGTGGCGCACGCCTTTAATCCCAGCACTTGGGAAGCAGAGGCAGGAGGATTTCTGAGTTTGAGGCCAGCCTGGTCTACAGAGCGAGCTCCAGGACAGCCCGAGCTATACAGAGAAACCCTGTCTCGAAAAACCAAAAAAAAAAAAAAAAAAAGTAGCATCACAAGCAAATGTATTTTCCCAGTAAGGGAAAAAGTACCATGGCTTTGTTTTGCAGCTTTCCTTTATCCATTCCTTCAGGGCTCATGCTAGGACTTCAGGGATACAATCAGGGATAAGAGAGATCTATTCTCTGAACCCAAAAGCATAAAGACGCCTAGGAGATGGTCACTGTAGCCAAACAATGCTACCCATTAGTAATGGAAAACAGAAAGTCTCCTAGGAGGGTGTGCTGGGAGATCTGCCTGTCTCTGCTTCCCTGGGATCAGAATTACATATGTAAATATGCGCCACCATGCCCCGATTTAAAAGAAATATTGGAGGGAGGGAAATGCATGCTACAAAACAAACAAACAAACAAACAAACAAACACAAACCCAGAGGAGAACCCATGAAAGTCTTTTTCCACCAGGATCCTATGATAGAAATCTAGTCATCAATCTCTGGGGCACGTACCTTTATCTACTGAGCTATCTTGCTGCACCCCCCTGCCCTTAAACATGAGTTCTGGAAATTCAAACTCAGACCCCAGTTCTTACACACCGAGATATCACCCTACCCTTCCTTAGTCTTTGGAAAGGTGTATGGTACAATCAACAGGGGCTACTGAATTTGGTCGACCTAGTTAGAAAGCTGACCATCCCATTTCTCCGTTTGTCAGGGGATTTGCTGACGTCGTTTAAACTCCTTTGTATAGTAGGTCATAAATACTGATTTCTAACTGAGTTGCAAATTCCCAATATATGTGCATGGTTTTGCCTGGTTTTCAATAAACTTGTAGGCAGGCTAATGATATTTAACTTTGGGTGCAAAAGGTAACTTCAGTTTTAAGAAGCATTTATTTAGGTCTCTTTGTGAGGCAGGGAAGCTAAAACAGTTGGGTTGATTTTTTTTAAAGTTCTGTTAAACAAGCACACAATGAATAGTGTCACTTTTCTTTTCCTGTCTATTTTGTAGCTTAGCTCTGGTCTCTGGCTATCCTGTAAAGCACTGTGTAAATCAGGTTGGTTCTGCCTCCCAAGGGCTGGAATGTGCCACCATACCTTTAGTTTCCAAAACTGTAGGAAGGGGGCACCTGGATTTGAACCAGGGACCTCTTGATCTGCAGTCAAATGCTCTACCACTGAGCTATACCCCCAGTGGCTACTCTTACTTTACTCTGCCTTTGTGGCCACTCTAGAGCTCAGGCTGAGGCTGAACAGACAGTCCCCGGCCATTCAAAAAGGATCTGCCAGTTATGAGCAAGGTGCGCGGGTCACCAAGCACTGCGTCCTATGACACCTGACCAAAGAATCGAATCTCTGGGCTAAATTACTTTTGACTCTTGGGAATGATATGTGACGTTCTGGTCCATCACCACTAGCGACTTAAACCTGGTAGAAGACTTTCCAGGTTCCACAGAGCTCTACGTTTAGTCCTGGGCGGCTAGCGCAGGTCGGTGAGCCGTAAGTAAACTCTGTGCTCTTGCCACTAGGGGAAAGCCAGAATTTCGACCCGGAGGCCAACGGGCCCTTAAGCTCCGGCCCCTGCATCTGCTGGATGCCGAGGCCGTGACGCACTCTGCCGGCGACGCCGGTGCGCCCGCAACCTACACTACTCCGAAACCAGGCATAGGGGATGTGGTTACGTCACACGTGTGCGACAGCACCTGCTCGGGACCGCAAGCTCACTAGTGAGGCCGTGGTTCTTCCTTGTGAGGTTGAGGCGCCTCCAGAGGCGGCCGAAGCTCGGAGATTCATCCTGCTTGACATTGGGCCAGTGAAGGAGTTCAGTTCCGAGGTTGCGGGTCCTTGCCTGGAGACTCGCGAGTTGGAGAGCGTGTGCGCGAGTCATTCCCATCTCTAGATCGCAGTGTTCGGATTGTCCGTACCGGATTGTCACTAGTATGTGGAAACCCTCGGGCTTTGGACTTTGCGGGAGGAGTTACCCCCTTGAGATCGGGAGGACTAGAGCAGGGAGCAAGGCCACTGAGACCCTACTGGATGTGACTTCGAGGGTCGCGTGCTGTACACGGCGGCCCAAGTGGCTACCGAGCCCGGAGAGCTTCGCGCTTACTCTTCTTGTTCCCTTTCCAGAGAAGAACTCTTTCGGTCAGGGTAGCTTTTTAAAGCTCAGGAGGGAAAGAGAGAATCACAATTAAAGAAATTATTTCGGCTTTGCAACGTCGGACACTTTAATAGTAACTGGGGAGCAATTGCGTTCAGGGAGATCGAGGACAAGTTTCCTGGCTAGATCCTGGCAGGTTCTCCGGTAAGAGTTTTCTGCGGAGGCCACCTTTGGAGGACTATGTATTATTAATGGAAGAGGGCCCACCGTAACGTATCCATGGTAATTAGATGTGTGTGGATTCCAGGAAGGGCAAGGATGATCGCACTACCACAGCCTGATGAATGTTCTCCTCACCAAACGTTGGAGTCTGTCAACATGTTGGATTTTTAAACATGTTCAGATACTGATAATTTTAGAAAAAAAAGAGAATTTACATTTGGTGTTTGCCACTCCCTTATCCTAAATGAAGATGATGCCAGTTTACTATCATAATACTGTGGGCTCGCTAAACAGAGACGTACTTGTTTGTTCCCCACAGCTCTCAAGTGTTCGGGTATTGACCATAGGATGTTGAACTGTTTGGGAGTAAATTTTGTAGTACCGTTGTAATAACACCACAGTTTTGTTTTTTAATATTGGGGAGTGGGTCTGAATGGGAGCCCACAAAGAGTGTGGAGATCAGAGGATACTCTCCCAGTGTCAGTTCTCTTCTTCCACCTGGGATCCTGGAATTAAATTCAGGTTACCATGCTTGCCCACAGTGTCTACTGGCTGAGCCATCTCGCAGGCCCTGTGGCAGTTTTTTAATAATGATACTTAATAAGGTACGTTACTGGAAATACATTATCACATACATATTTATATTGGGGTTAGGGGTGGAACTTAGTGGTAGAGGGCTTGCCTAGAATGCATCAGAAGTCTTGCATCCTTTTCTCAGGGAGATGCACACAAATGGCTATTCACCCAGCTAGGACACCAACAGATGAAAGAAACGATGCCATCCAAGAACAGCTTGTTTGGGGTTAAATACTGATGTGGGGATATCCCAAGGAGCCTGGAAAAGCCCCATCCAACCATAGATGACTGCTTCCTAAAGCCACATATATCACTTATCACTGGAGTCTCAACTCCAGTAAATTTACCTATTGTAAGCTGTCCCCTTATCCCCACCCCAACCCCCGCCCAACCCATGTGAAACTACAGTGGGGAGATGAGGAAGTTGATTGGTTTTGATAGGCGATCAGGAGTTGGTGGGTAGCTGAAACACATACCCGTGCCCCAATTTAAGGAGGGAAGGTGACCAGGCCGTCCATGGGATATTTTAGGGTCCCAGTTGGGCAATCACAACTGCTCTGATTGCAGTACTACAGAGGTCCTATCTACCTAAAGGATGGAGTTCCATTATACTCCTACCCCAGCCCCACAAAACCCAGCACAAAGCCATGTAGATAGATCACCACTGTGTCTGGCTGCTTTGGCTTTTAGACAAGTAGCAGGGCATGGTGGTGCATGCCTTAAGCACATAGCATGCAGAGGCAGGAAATTCACTGTGATTCTGGGCTAGCCTAGTCTACATAGCAGGGTTCCAAACTCCCTAATATTATAGTTCTAAATTAAAAGTTAAAGTTAATAGTTTCTTTTCTTTTTTTGGATAGGGTTTCTCTGTGTAGCCCTGACTTTTCTGGAATTTGCTCTGTAGACCAGGCTGGCCTTGAATTCAGAGATCTACATGCCTCTGCCTCCCGGGATTAAAGGCATGTGCCATTATAGTCCAACAAATAAAAGTTTGTTTATATATATTTTATGTATATAAGTGCTTTGTATGTATGTCTGTACATCAGAAGAGGAAATCAAATCCCAATACAGATGATTGTAAGCCACCGTGTGGTTGTTGTAAATTCAACTCAGGATCTCAAGATCAGAGCAGCCAGTGCTCTTAATCACTGAGCCATCTCTCCAGTTCTTGTCTTCTCTTGTCTTCTCTTCCCTTCCTTTCCTTTTCCTTCCCTTCTCTTCTCTTTCCCTCCCCTCTCTTCTTTCCCCTCCTTCTTTCCAGTACAAAGCTCTTACCCAAACAGAGTTTTCTTTGTTGTGTCGGCATGCAGTGGTACATACTTACCTGTAACCCAGCATGTGGAAGTGGAGGCAGGAAGATGAGTTCAGTTTTTTGGCTACATAGCAAGTTTAAGGCTAGCCTGGGGAACATTGAGACCCCTGTCTCAAAAGGGGGGGGAGGAGCCAATTTCTTGGTAAAGTTCCTGTTTTCCTTACATTAAAATTCTTTCATTGTTTCAAGCAAAAGGTGTCTAATAACTTGATAACTGATCTTCCGGTTTCTCATAGATTACCTTGCCATATTAATCTTCATAAAATACCCTTTCTATAGCCTTAGGGACATGCTCTAACTGCTTACCAGGCCAAGTGCAAAGCCTCAGGCTAGCTTTTAAGACTGTCTCTCCTCCTAAGGTAGCAGTGCTTACCCTTCTTGTACTGTGTTAAAAACTGACCTACCCTGCTAGTTTTCTTCAGGTTTCCACTCTTGTCTTCAAGCTAGGCTGCTCTGCTGCCTCTGAACCCTTATGCCCCTTATCTGTAATTTCTCGTTGGTTCTGTAGTGCTGCTGGGTTTGCTTTTTGCTTTTTGAATTTTTACTTTATCAAGCAAAATATAAATTCCTGGTCAGGGCCAGAGTCTAGTCCACTTTCCATTTCTGTTTTTTTTTTTACTCTCAGACAGCAGTGTAAGGCAAGAATGGGTGCTCAGCTTGTAGTTATGAGTCATCCACACCATAGTTCCATCATAGAATATAAATAACATCAGCCAGGGGACACAGTTTTGGAAGCAGACTCAGGCTCTGGTAGAATAAGCTTTTTTTTTTTTTTTTTTTTTTTTTTTTACCCAAAACAGGTAAAAAGCAGATCTCCAGAGCTCGCTGGCCAGCCAATCTAGTAGAATCGGTGAACTCCAGGTTCAGTGAACCCTGTCTGGAAATATAGGTGGAAAGCAGAAGAGGAAGACATCTAATACCAACCCCCTGACCTTTACCACACGTATATGCTCTCCATGAACGTAGACAGACACACAAGAGAGCCCTAACCTCATCCATAATTTTAAATGCAAATTATGCAGTGGTAGACCAGGCATGGAAACACATACTGATAATCTCAGCACTGTGGAGAATCACAAGTTCTGGGTTAACCTGAGTTACTTAATGAGTTCAAGGATAGACTGAGCTACACAATAAGAGCTTATCTCAAGACAAGAAACAAAAGAACAATGACAAACTTCACATTTTAGATTGACATATAAAATGTTGGATAATTGTTGGGAATGGAGAACCAGGCACATGCATATTTTTAATATAAAACTTTACATACCCTCTGAGCTTAATTTGTATCTGATGTCCATTACACATTAGGTAAAAGAATGTTCCCTGAAGTATTTGTGTGAAAATAAGACTAGAAACGGATAAATGTTTATCATTTACCTAAATAAATCATGGAACACAATAGTTAAAAACACAGTGTTTGCATATTGCTGAGATGACAATGTCAATGAGAAAAGTAAAAGACGATGTGATTTAGCCATACTGTGGATTAAAAAAACAGAATTACTTGCAGGTTTGTATAAATAAAGCTGTCACGAGAAGGGCAAATGCCTAATACTATGGCTGCCTCCAAAGAGGAAAATTTGGGGTTAGGGATTATGAAGAGATTTTTGTAATCATGAATATTTGACTTTTTTTCTGGAGAAATTTAATATCTTTGCAAAATAGATTCTTGGCAGTTTATAAACTAATGCTGTTCAATATAAATTATTTTTTGCTGAAATTGGATCACCAGGATAAGTACTATAGTTTGAGACATGAAAGACCACCATGACAGGGTTAAGAAGAATACCATCACTAGCATAATTCATGGAGCTTAAGTCAAATTCAAGAATGGGTAGACCATGTGAATTTTATTCATAGTGATATTTCAAAAGCAAAGGAAGACATAAAGTCTCTAACATTTGATACACTAAGTTATTTTAGATGGTTTCTGTGTTCCTGAGTGTGGAAGAAAAAAGGATTAAGGCTAGCAAGATGGTTCAGCATGTAAAGGTACTTGCCAGCAAGTCTGACATTCAGTCCCAAAGGCCCACACAGTAAGAGAACTCCTTTTAAGTTGTTTCTGACCTCCATAAACATGCAGTGGCACATGTATACTTCCTTCAGTAAATATTTTTTTAAGACAGTTTCACTACGTAGCTCTGTGTGTCCTGGAACTTACTATATAGACCAGGCTGACCTCAAACTCACAGAGATCTGTAGGCTTTGATTGTTTAAAACCTACATTTAATAAGGGTACTTAAATGCTTTGACCTCCCTTCTAGCCCACCACCCACCAGAGGTAGTGGAAAGGAAAGGTTAATAGAGCAAAGGAAGATATGGACCTGTGTAGAAATAGTTCTTTGGAGAGAATCCAATCTACTTGTCAGGATATTAGCAGTTCGTATCACACAAACCGCCAGTGTAGCTCTACCCACTAGCAAACACCACTCATGAATCAGCAACAGCAGTTAGATCCAGAAGAAACCACGAGGCTCTGCCAGTCGGCCTAAGTCTTTGGAAGTGGCAAGAAGCCGCCGGAACACCACCAGAAATCTTTGGTGCATTTCTCTATGAATTCACAACAAATAATGACAGTGAGGACCAGCAACAACAAAGCCCAACAATGACCAACGAAGAGTGGTAAGGCATACCAATACCAGTACAGCATCATCCACTTTCTGTTGGTTTATATTTATACCCTTTCCAAACATCTTGTGTTCTCTCAAGCATCTGCTCTAGCAAACATCACATGCCCTTTTTCCAGGCTGCTTCCAGAAAAACACCATGTGTCTGTTCTCAGCAAAACATCCTCCCATGTGTCTGTTTCAGCAAAAACCTCCTCTCATAAGACAGTTTCCAGAAAAACATCACATAACACAACCAAGTCTTTGAAGAAACCAGAAATTTATTACACTTCAGAGATCTACCTGCCTCTGCCCCTCAAGTGCTTGAATTAAAGGCATGTGCCACCATGCCCAACAATAAAAATTTTAAATTAGAAAAAAGAAAAGTGGCCGGGCAGTGGTGGTGCACGCTTTTAATCCCAGCACTTGGGAGGCAGAGGCAGGCGGATTTCTGAGTTCGAGAGTTCAAGGCTAGCCTGGTCTACAGAGTGAGTTCCAGGACAGCCAGGGCTACTCAGAGAAACCCTGTCTCAAAAAACCAAAAAAAAAAAAAAAAAAAGAAAAGTAACCAAGGATCTGCCTTCTTTTGTATGGGGAGCAAGCTTCACAAAACAAAATAATCATTTGGAACTTGGTAAGGTATACATGTCATTTCATTGAAATGCTATAAAATGACCACGTGTCCCAAATTCCATCATATTGCTGTTTAAATCATCTTTTACCAAAAAAGTAATAAAGAGGTATTTTCTGACAAGTTGGAAAATTGAAAGTGTAATGTTAACAGTAAAGTTAAGTAATGGTCTGTTTTGTCACTTAAGACTATAAAAGGATTCATGACCTGATGCTTTTTTTTTTTTTTGGTAGTACTGGAGCCATGTATGTACCACTAAGCTGTATCCCCACCTAACTTGCCTTTTTAATCCTTCCTTTCATTTAACTATTACATCTAGATTTAGGTAATAGCATTTAAATTTGGATGAGAAATGTAGTTAAAGAGACTATACACTCAGTCTTTTGATCAAAATATAAAATCCTAAACCCTGTCTCGAAAAACAAAACAAAATATATATATATATCTCCACTTTTCATGTTTCTGAAAGCATCACACAGGGTACTGAACTTTTGGATGTGACTTGTGTCTGTGAACTGCTCTCTCATGTCAACAGGTAAATGAGCTCAGAGAATGGCTGGTTTGTCTTACAAAACTGAGACATGGAATTCTGCTTTCAAAAGTCAGAGCAAACATCAACACAAATTTACAGTTACATTCTCAAAAGGAAATTGGAGTTGGAAATGAAGTGTTTCACAAGGAGAGCCATGGTGAGCTTCACTTTTTTTTTTTTTTTGGTTTTTTGAGACAGGGTTTCCCTGTATAGCACTGGCTGTCCTGGAACTCACTTTGTAGATGAGGCTGGCCTCGAACTCAGAAATGCGCCTGCCTCTGCCTCCCAAGTGCTGGAATTAAAGGCGTGCGCCACCACTGCCAGGCTTACTTTTATTTTATGCTTATGTTTTTGATAATAAATACTGTAGATTCTTAAGTATGTTGATCATATTAATTGACATTAATACAATTCAAGGATTTTAAATTTTTTATTTTTTTATTTTTTGTACAGATAATTAAAGGAAGTGTTTTTCTATTCTGCTGAGTCAGTTGAAAAATGCAGCTACAATGTTGCTGGAGTTCTCCCAAGAGACAAGTTTAGGTACTCATATGTACACATTATTTAGGCCATGAAATGAGTTTCAGATACATTGATTTATGAGACAGTCTTATCCTTTTGGTTATAAGTCTATCTGTAAAGTTACTGTGTGATCACTGACAAATGTTTTTGTTACTAACTAGCCAAATAGCCCCAAAACAAATGCTCAAAAAAAAAAAAGTTCTGAGAAAAAGCTTACAGGAAAGGGACAGTGTTTAACATTTCAACACTTTTTCTGAACAAACTAGGAAACATTTGTACAGTGTAGTGTGCATTTTCTGTTACAGAAGAGTCACATTCTGATATTCCACACAGACCATGCCCTTATATTGCTAGACTTGTTCACTGGTAAAGTGGTCACACATGTCTACTGTTTTCAGAATATATAATTAAATGTTTCTTTTAATTCAGTGTTAAAACCTTAATTGTTTTCTCTTTTAAACTAGCTCTTCTTGTCTTCTAGTTTAACCTTTTAAGCTGGTTGAGGAAGTTCAGACCACAACTGAATTGGTACCTGAGATAACAGCACTGAATTTGAAGACAAAGAAGTATCAAATTAGAACTGTATATTATCAGTGACTACTTCAGAAAGTATTTTTACCTTATTTTGGTATGTTTAGTTATTACTATGATTTGTATGACTTTTACATATGTTTGAAAAATAACAGAAGCTAAAGACTATTGTACAACTGGTTAACTGTCCCATTTGACATTTTCTCGCATTCGGTTTGGGTTTGCCATTCTGTAGCTGTGACTCCAGCTGGCTTTAGTTGAGCCATGTCATTCTTCGCTCTCTGCAAGCCATTCCATAGATTTGTTTTTCTTCACAAAATTAGTTTCATTTTCTTTGTTTGATTGATGGTCATTGGCTACTGAAATAAATTATGCATTTTATGGTAAATTGTATGTATTTAAGATAAAACTTTATGTATTTTAAAATACTTTTTGACTTTTCTCTTTTTTTAATCTTTGTTATTTTCTTTTTTGAGATAGAGTCATAATTTGGGAGTGGTGATCCTGCTTTTGATCCCAGCATTTGGGAGGAAGCAGAGTGATCTGGCTACATGAGGCCCTATCTCAAAACCAAAACCAAAACAACAACAAAAAGATTGAGATAGGATCTTACTGTGTAGCCCAGGCTAGTCTTGAGTTCTTGATATTCCTGCCTCAGCCTCCTAAGTGCTGGACTTACAGGCATTCGTCACTGCCTGAACCTAGTACATATTTTAACTGCTTATGTGGAACTTAAAAATAATAAGGAGCCAGACTTAGTGGAGCACACCTTTAATCCTAGCACTCTGATTTCAAGGCCTGCCTGGTCTACAAAGGGAGTTCCAGAATATCCAGGGCTCTACGGAAAAACCCTGTCTCAAAAACTAAATAAATAAGCAAATAAGTGAATTAGATAGATGATGGATGGATGGATAGATAGGTAGATAGATAGACAGAGGAAGGCTCAGGGAGATGGCTCAGTGTGTAAAATTACTAACTAGCTCTGCAAGCCTGAGTTTGATACCCAGAACTCACGTATTTTTTTGTTTTTAAAAAGCTGGATGCAGTGGTGGGTATCTGCAATCCCATCACTCCTTTGGCAATAAGTGGAAACAGAAGAATCATCTAGAAGTTTGCAGGCTGGCCAGCTAGCCTGGACTGCTTGGTGCAGCAACACTGCCTCAACAAGGTAGAAGGCAAGAATTGACTCCTGAAAGTTGTTCTCTAACCTCCAATGTTAACCACACACACACACACACACACACACACACCCCATAAACAAACAGAAAACAGGGCTGTAGAAAATAGTAGGGGAGAATTTATGAGAATAACAATTTTTAAAATTATAATAAAGATGTAACTTTGTTGTTGCTTTTGATTCTGGGTATTGAAGCCTTGAACCTGGCACATGGTAAAGCACACTATTAATAGGGTTTGCCCTCAAGACGTAACAACTCTTTTTGTTGGTTGGTTTTATTTTTCTGAGGCTTAAAGATGAGGTCTAATGTAACCCAGGCTGGCTTTGAACTCCTGGTCCTCCTGCTTTCTCCTCTACAGAGTGCTGGGATTATAGACATAAGCCACGTTGACCAGTTTGTTATTTTGAGACATTCTTGTTCCCCGTGTATTTTAGACAGGCCTCAACTAGTGATACTCCTGCTTTGGCTTCTGGAGTGTCAGGATACAGGCATGTTCTACCATACATTGCTTCAAGGTGTAACAATTCTTAAATCTTTTTAGTCCACTCAAATCTTGGTTTGATATGGTTTGAGACAGGGTCTCATTCTGTAACTTAGGCTGGCCTGGAACTTACTAATATAGTCCAGGGTGACTTGGAACTAATAGCAATCCTCCTGTTCCACTCTCCTGAGCACCAGAATAACAGATGTGAATTGCCATAGACAGAATCTTTGTACCATGTTTAAAGGCCACCAGGATTAATGATGTACATGAATGATGGGAGAAATGTACTTTAGGAATGTGAATTAGGAATAGGAATTATTCATAGATATCGGTTGCTTTGTATTTTCTAATAACATATATTATTTAGAGAACTTTATTCATATTTTTCAAACAACTCATCTTCAAGGCTATATTTTTATATAGTTACACAGTTTTTTGTTGTTTAGATGTAGACGTTTCTCTGTTGGCTAGCTTTCACAATGCTGGAAGGTGGTACTACGGCAAGCTGCTGAGGAAGAAAACTATTCATCAGTGGTCTTACAACTCAGTGAATGTTGCATGCTATAATAATACCCAACTTGAAAACAGGATGTGCCCACTGGTGAAATAGTG